GAAGAAGCCTGGGCAACTATTGTATTATTGTGTATATACCAAATATTCAAGGATTGTACAAATTCTTTTTGCCTTATATGTTTCAATAAATTACTATTAACACATCTATTTCTCATTTTCCTAGAAAGATATAATAATGAGGGGTGATTCAAGCCTTTTGCACAATATTGTACTTGTGTAAAAATATTGCACACCTACACATGTGTCTGAAAATCCTCTGGTTTTAGAAGTGCTACATGTAATATAAAGGTTTGGGCATAAAAATGTTTTAAAGCATTTAAACTATGTTTTTCATTAAAAACAATGTAAAGACAACATTTAACTAATTACCAACAACAGTAAAATTATTGGGTGTAAAATAGTAAAATCACATCTATTTCAGAAGTAAACGGGCTCACCACTGTGAAAGACTTATTAGCATTAATCTGGGGAAATTATCAACTATGCTGCATAACATTAGTAAGAGATTCAGAGAATTTCAAAAATCTCTTTGTGTCAATATGAATTGCTTTGAGTTTTGGATGCTGAGGCATTAACCAGCAGTCCAAACCCTAGCCTTAACTCTAACCCGTGGTAATCAGAAAACAGTCTTCCTCCAAGACACACATCAAACAAATCATATTTCTTTTAGAAAATAATCAGTTTTGCTTTTCTGTAAAACATTGGGTTTGGGTAGTACTAGAGTCTTAAACCTCTGAAGCTTGAAATGCTTTTGCCCAAAGTAAAAAGAAAAAGATGTATACACACATTTCTATCTGTGATATACAATGAAGTGCATGCTTTAAATCACTTCCCAGTCAGTATCCTGGTTTACATTTTGCACGGCATCTCAACATTTGTCAAAACAAGGTTGCAGATAAACTTTGTGATGATCTCCAGCTCACCAGGAGACGCTTTTCTTTTCAATGGGTATGTAAGGAAGGCAAACAAAAGCATGCTGCAGCATTGTTAATAAAAACAGTTCAGTCGACAAGCATCTTTACATGACGTTGGAGTCTGTGCCCTGGCTGATCTCTGGGATCGGCTTGTAGGAGTGAAAGTAAATAAGACATTCAAACTGTCTTCGTGAACCTCTGCCAATGCAGCAGACATTGCCAAATAAGCTGAAAACACACAATTGCATCAAACTCTCCATTATGTTTTGAGCCGAATCTTTTTCACCGCAAACAGCTTGACAGACTGGCACAGTGGAGAAATATGCAGCCGCTACAAAGACACACAACCAACATCAAAATCTCTGTACAAAAGTTGCTGCAAAGCTGTCCCAGTCGATGTAGTGCGGCATCTGTTTTGTATGAATCTCAGCGGTTGTTTGATGCGTGGGGTTTTTTTTCTTCTTTATTTCTGCAGCATCAGATTTTAAACTAAACTTAAGCTGTTGTATCTACAGCAAAAAACTCTGGTATTGTAACAGCACAACACTACCGGCTCTGCTCCCATCAGCCGACACCTTTCCTCTCCTCGCTCTTCTCTCGCTCCATTTCTCTCACTCCCTTCAGTCTGTCTGGCTGCACTTCTGCATGCAGGTCAGGATACTTAATTCATGTCCAGAGACATCGTTTCCTCATTCTCTGATATAGTCTGCGCAGGGAAGCTGACCAAACCTGCCTTACACCGGGGCTACACTGCCCCTCTCCCCAGGCCCCTCATCCCTCTGCTCCCACCTTCTGAGAGCACGCGATATGGAGGAACGTTGCAGACGTTCCCCAGCGGACCCTCTGATAACCCTCCTACCAAACCTCATCTGAGGAACATTGGCGGCCTGGATATCGCCCAGCCGCTGAGGAATAATGAGAACAAAAGCATAATACATGGCCTTCTTTCTCTTTTTACCTTCTGCTCCTCCTCCACCTCCGTCCTGTTGCTGTTCTTCTTGTTCCGTTTCCCTCGTACGTTTGCCAGTGTTCACTGGCCTTTGGAGGACAGCGGACAGAAAAAGAGAATGGGTGGGAGCGCAGATATTCTGCCGCCCACGTAAGGGCCATTCTGTATGGTTTGCAAACAGTCATTTTGTTCAGTATCTTTACCCTGATCTTAAGGTAATAAACGGGCCTCGACATTGCCCGGGGTCTCCATTGGCATTCTGCTGGGTCAGATAAAGTGTGCAGAAGCAGATTGCTTAAAAAGATAGAACAGGCCGCTCCACATACAGCCGTGTACTCTATTAGATGTTGATTCAGAGGCTTAATTCAGATAAAGCTCTACAAATGCTGTACAAGATGTAAGCCTATACGTTGATGTGCAAACATACTAATCTTAAATTTATCGTGTTAGGCAGCTCTCAGCCTGCCGATCAGTCAGATGACTGACATTCAGCATATAGAAATGTGAGCGTGTCTGCCCTTCGCATTCCTGTTATCATCAGCTTTTCCTGTATTTGATTTTCACGAAATCTTTTGACGTGAGCATTTTGATTTCAACGTGTAACGTTTGATATGGGAATAAAAATAAGGGTGATGTAGCTTTTTCTGGGTCACCTAGTTGGTTTTTAAATAATCCCAAAGTGATGCATTTAGATTGTTTTACTTCAATTACTCACAGAATGTAAAAAATGTTGAAATTATAATGATATACAACGTTTCCTAAACAATGCCCGGGGCATTTATTTATCTAAGCTGCACAGGCCAGCATTGCTATATTTGCAGCAGCCTTGTATTAGAGGCCAAATATTATTTGCAAGTCCTTCTGTTTGATTCGAATAAGTGATCATGTTAACTCAACAAAGCCTTGCTCTGATATGTTTACATTTGCTCTTAATGGGTCACTGCCTTTAGCAAGCAATGACAAATGGATGATGATTTTCATTATTATTATTATTAAGTTTTTTATGTAAATTCTTTTCTGCTAAAATGGAAATGCAAACCAGTTACCCGCTGCACTCATGTTGTCACAGCTTCGCTAATGCAACATGAAAATCAAGCATTGCATGACCAAATTAACTGTGAATATAATGCTGCAGTCACACTAGGGAAAACACTAGTTGGAGACTGCAGCACAACCCAAATTACTGCAGCTCTGTGCAATGGACTTGAAATATCTTTCCTTTGAAATAGTTGTTTAGTAGGTTTGCAGCTGCACACGGTCAGTTGCCACCTCAGAGCATCAAGACAGAAAGGAAATGGCAGCACAATGGAATCGGTCTGTGACGAGAAAGGGGTCAAGTTGGTAATTACATACAAACTTTCATAATTTAGCAATTAATCGTGATAGAATTCAGAGAAATGCAAACCCGTTGCTGTCTGCATGCATGAAGTTATTTATTGTCTTGGGTTTGAGCTCTTGATAGCAGTTCTCTTGGAGCTCTGGAGATGCACCTGACTTGGAAAACTTTGTGCAGCCGTTTTAATGATCAAAAAGTCCAAGCATTGGACTGCCTCCAAAATAACAAGTAATCTTCATCTTTTGTTTTGTTTTTTATAGGTTTGTCTCTGTGAAACTTTTTCAGCCTTTTATTTATTTTTGTTTTTCATTTGGAGAACATCAACTATGCTGCATAACATTAGTAAGAGATTCAGAGAATTTCAAAAATCTCTTTGTGTCAATATGAATTGCTTTGAGTTTTGGATGCTGAGGCATTAACCAGCAGTCCTAACCCTTGCCTTAACTCTAACCCGTGGTAATCAGAAAACATAGTTTTTGTTTTCATTAAAGTCTTCTTATCACACATCAAACAAATCATATTTCTTTTAGAAAATAATCAGTTTTGCTTTTCTGTAAAACATTGGGTTTGGGTAGTACTAGAGTCTTAAACCTCT